ACGACAGGGGCTGAAATGAACCATAACATCGGGGTAACCCCCTACTCTTCCGAAAGATGCAATGGGTTCTTTAAAGTGCACACGAGCCAGATGTATACACTGGACCTACATTTTAAGTCCTTATCTGAGAAGACTTGGTTCTACCAACCGAACCATGGGCGAGGAGCGGCTGGAACCAGCGCCGATGTTAAAGGCTGTAGCTAGCGGCGCCGCTGCCTTACCGCTCGACCACTCGACTCGCCGAGCACTGATATTATGGCTGTAGGTTGCGGTGCCCCTGCCTTTAACCGCTCAGCCATTTGACTCACTGGCGTATAAATCTAAATCTAATGTCTTGCATTCGTAAGTGGAGAATCCTAGGCCCAATTAACAAATTAGTTAACAGCTTACCTGTGTAAAGTCTTCCTTCGGAACGAGAAGTAAAACAAAATGTCAGAAAACTTTTCTTTGACGCATGCGCATTTGCATAAATGTCTACACACACGCATACACACTACACACAATAAAAAACATAGGAAATAGCAAGAGTGATTACAATAGTTCCTATTGCATTACATGCATAGGAACTAAAAAGAGTTTGATTTGCTGGGTATTGACAATACTTCTTTAAACATCCAATCAAAAAAATTAACCATGGACAGCATATCTTACTTAAACTGTATAAGCAAGGGAGGTAATCCATGGTATAAGCAATTCATATTCAAAATACTGAATTTTATTGTTTAAGTTATTAGCAAAAAAAATAGACAGAATGCACATAAAATTCTATTGTTTTCTATTATGAATACCCAACTATTATACTTCCAGATTTTAGATAACAGAAAATCAGAAATTTAATGAACACACATGTGGTTTAAAGGTTCATCAGCCTTTTATCATGCACACATGTTTTTCTCATCGTAAATGGCCATTAAAATCAATCATGCATATCATTGTTCTAGTAAAATGGTGTAGGAAAAATAATAGATTGAAGTAGGGCTCTGGTGAAGAGCACTCCATACCTACTATAGTGTTATCACCATGAACAAAATGCTTCACTGTTAACAGTATTGTCAGCATTTTTAATTATTAATGGTGAAAAAGATCATACATTATCATATTATTATTTATTATTATATAGAAATAAATAGGAAAAAGTTATGGCAGGCAACAAAACGAACACAATTCAATCCATGCTCTATGTATACTTACGTATCTTTGATCATATATTTTGAAATTGGCACATAACAAATATTAGTTTAATTATAATACAATACACCTATATTCACCCAATTATCAAATATATATTTGTTAACAAATTTAATAAATGGACAAAAATAAAAAGGAGAATAACAAATGGACAAAAACCAGCCTATGCCCCAAGAAACAAGAATGGACAAGCAAAGAGAAATAAAAAAATAACAAAAGAAAATAAACAACAAAATAAAACGTGTAAGAGATATATCACGAAGAATTACAACATAGTAGATTTTCAAGTAGAAAAATCTTCCTACAATTTTCCATATTTGTGAAAATATATTATTATTATTATTTCAGTTAATGTATTGTTATTAGTAATATACACACCTTAAATCTTTATTTTATAACAATAAAAATATTAAATGTATTATTGTTAATGACGTAATGTAAATGTTCTTACCATCTTGAATTGACCAGGAATTTTGTCCAACTGATGCTTTAACTGCATATAGTCCACCATTTAGCGTCGATACCAGTATTATATCATCTGCTTGTGCGTAAGGAACACTTAGCTTGGTCTTGTCATCCTACGATTTAACATAGAATTAAAATTAAAGAGAAGTGGAATGCGCACACCACCATAGTAGTCATCCATGTAAATGGATGACTGTACACTGTATGGATGAGTTTAAAGTGCAACTCTCTTTTTACAGTTTACAGTACTGTACATTATATTCAATTCTGAAAAGTACAACTTTTGTCATGTATAATACTTATTGTGTAACGTTTTTATTCAAAATAATGAATACCTTGTCATGAGACAAATCAAAATTAGTATGAAAAAGACACAGCTAAACAAACACTTCAAACACCTTTACCTAATGACAAAGGAAAGAAGCATGCATACTGTTCATGCGGATAGCTTTAAAGGATACTATGTGTATAATAAGATAATCCATTAGACTGAGTATTGATGAATTTCAAGTGCAACTCTCTTATTACAGATACAATATTACAGTAAATTCATTTTGTTTTTGGTTGTTTATTCACTTGTTTAAGAAAGATTCATACAGTATAAAAAGTATACTGTATTCAGTTTTTAAATCTTTATTGTGTAAAATAGATGTATGTTTTTATTAAATGTTGACTACATTAAATATATTACAGTACAGTATGTTCAGTTAAAATACTTTTATGTATGAATGAACTGTACACGCTTTTAGAGTTCTGGTAACAAGAACAAGAACAGCAGTGATGTTCTGGTGTCAGCACCTTACAATGAACCAAATACCAAATAAGTTCTAATTATAATTATACTGTTGTTATTTTTTTCAGCACCACCATGGTTGGGGCTGAGGTTGAAAATGTTTATGCAAATATGGCACCTTCAAATATTCAACATCCTCATAGTGTACTTGTATTGCAGTATAATTTGACATACTGTTGTATATTTGGAAAATTTTACCCTAATAATCGCATGAATGGGTAAGTCCATTTCTGGCCGAATGACAATCTTACTGTTGTGTTGCGACTCCATCAGACTGACATGGATGAAACAAAAGTAGCACAAGCAAAATTGCCTTGGTTTTTTTTTTTCTAATACTCTTGTTCATCTGCATCAATCTGATGGGGTAGCAAACACAAAAGTACACTGGATTGGAACTATTATTATCCACAAGGAAAACTAAAAAGTCTCTACGCAGCATAGCCCCTGCTGTGCATAATAATAATTTGCATAAGGAGGTAAGCACTGCCTTCACCACAAAGTTCATTAACTTACTTAGATCATGTTCTATTTTCTCAATGTTTAGATACAGATTTTGCAAGCAAGGTATATTAAGTTAAATGCCAATATCATGCACATAACAATTGGGGAAGTACCTAACAGCGACGAATGCTACGTAAATAAAATCTATGGTCGCATGTGTATTCACAGGTATATGAATTTTGGTTGGATTATAATGCAACGTGGTAATTTCAAGTATATTCAGTATATTTTTCAAGATGCCTGAACATGTTGTCAATTACACATTACTAAACACTTTCAAAGCACACCACTATAGACACAAGTTTTAAACTCTTTGCCTCTTATTATCACTAAGGGTGCGTTTGGGCAAGTTTTTCGGCCATTTCTAGTTCTAGCCCGAACAGGTGTTAAACGCGGACCGCCTGCTGATATCCGCTGATAATCCAACGCTGCAAATTGCAGTGTTACTGGAAGAGCAAAGGCAGCATGCGTTAGCAACAAGGAGAATTATTTATCACTTAATCCCATTTGATTGTTTTAACACGCGCCACAAGTAAAGTCTGTTTAAATGTTCATGGTCCCTGCTTCTTTTACAGTTTAATTCCAAAAACAAAAACCTCAATAAAATAAATTATTTCAACTGAGGGCTAGCCTAGAATCCAGATTGTTCCCTTGTTACATACGTCCGCCACATGCATACATGATCATGGCACCACTGCTTATTCTTTTCTGTTTTTAAACTACAATTGTCAAATGAATGAAAGTTTGTTCATGTTTATATGCCCAAAATGCACATATGCGATTTATTGGGAGTTTGCTATGCTTTATTACTGTTGTAGCTTCTTTAATTGCATTACTTGATTTTGAGACAAATACATTAATGCAGTGGACCAACGCCAAAGTCTGTTTCTTAATTAAAGCATGGGGTGACGCAGCTGGGTGACGCAAGGGTCCAGGGCAACTTGATAGAAACTCATCATTTGCATAATACCTTAGGTTATACTGTACGTCCGAGGTTATTGGTTTTTTTGAAAGCCGAGTTCTGCACGAACTTGTAGACCACCTGTGGATCCTGCTGCGGATACAATACCAGGTAAGAACCCTATGTAACATTTTCTCGTTCTCGCCCAACACACCCTAAAGGTAAGATAACTGGCTTCTCAGCCTAAAACTTGGAATGAGCACTTCACTTGGTGATGGTGACGTAATGATGGTATCATCAGAAAACAGAAGTGGAGATATGGTGTAATAATTGTTTATAGATTTTAAATGTATAATAAAATGATAGAATTCACTGACTTAACCACACAGATTCAGTACATGCAAAAGAAAGATTATTGGAGGCCTACTTCTAGGCCCAGGGTCTAGGCCTAGTGTAGTAGCTTAGCTAGAGGAATAGGCTAGACTAGGCTTCTGTATGTGTAAACCAACTCAAGGATTAGGCTATGCTAGGGGGGATATGCCTAGCCTACTACTACTAGGCTTACCGACCTTTTCTGCAGCTGCGAAAAAGCCATTCGAGGACGCCAGCACCAAAATTAGGCATAGCACAATTATCATGTTTCCTTTCCACATTCTTGTGATTAAATTGTAAAAAATCGTCGTTTATACATTGAAATCATTCCGTAATATTTACACCATCGATTGCATGAGAAAAGAAGCAAGGCGATTGTTGGCGATTGTTTGTGATTCCCCTAAATTGTGTGACGTTCCATTATCTCCAGCGTTGATTGGCTGGGTACTTCAGTCCTCTCGTGTGAAAAGTACGTGCTTAAATAATTACGCCTGGAGAAGAGTCAAAGAGAGGGCGTTAGACAACATGCGTTGTTTTTACGATTGATTGATCGTTGTTTGATTTTAAAGCAGGTTTAAATATAGTCTAGATTTTGGTCAGGCCGAGGCCTAGTTTTTGTACGGGAGCCTAGACCTAGGCCTATAAGTTTTCTAATCCTAGTCTACGGACGAAGGTGAATATTCTTGGTCTGGCCTTTTTTATGTACCGTGTAGCCCTAGGCCTATCTAACTAGGCTAGACCTAGTCTAGACTTAAGTTTGAACAGGACTCGCTGGGGTAGCCAGGCTATCCCAGGAAGGTCGTCTAGGCCCCTTGACAAGGGCCTTGTAGTAGTAGACTAGCGCCACGACGGCCGGTTTCCTCGCGCACAGTACATCAACTACCAGTCGGTACTACTACTACTGCTGTTTCTCTAGGCCTTCATATTAGGCCTAGGCTACCTAGCTAGCTAGGCTAGTAGTAGGGCCTAGCTAGGTACTGGTAGGTAGGCCTACTTGCATTGCTAGGCAGTAGCTAGCCTACAGACAGAGAGTAGTAGGCCTAGCTAGGCCCCTAGTTCTTCTTGCAGGCTGTTCGTATGTCTTTACAATTCCGCATGCTGAGCTTGTTCAGACTGTATAGTAATGGCCTGCACAGGGAACATATCCGCCGCGGAAAAATTTGGCCTAGAAATCCATCCATGCAGTTCGAAAAATAAGGGCCATTTCTGCGCAGATTTTGCTGAAAATTATGCTTTGTATAAATCTTAGTAACATCACCAATGATGCAATTATGCAGTAATTACGATTCCGCGCACCTATTTTCATAGCCATTTTCTGCGTAAATTTGAGCTGATTTTTTAGATACGGTACCCTCTGTGCAATTAGAAAACTTAAAATAGATGTTTGTTTTTATTATTTCAGGGCATATTTTTCTTGGCGTCTAGAGATTAAACTGCCAAAATGTCTTTAGCTGATGAATTATTGGCAGACTTGGAGGAGATGGCTGAGCACGGAGACGCCATCGAATTCAACGATGACCAAGACAATGAACTCGACACTATTGAAGATGTTGCAATGGATATTGATAATAAATTAGATTCGGTTAAAAACATCGCTAAATTAAGAGATGGAGAACAATTGTGTAGCATTATGAGTAGAATAAAAAGATTTCAAGAAAATCCAAGAAAAGGAGAAGGTAAGTAAACAGATATTTGTAATTTATTTTGTGGATACAGTCACAACCATGCCCATATAAGTGGAATACAGTGAGGGGTGAACTCTGCAGACTCAATCTGGATGTTGTGGCTGACCATACCACTGGGTCTCACAGAATATATCCACCATACAGTTAATTGTATGACTTTCTCATAGTCTAATCCTTGTGTGCTGGGATAACCAGACTTACATTGAGGATGATTTAGGAGCAGATCCAGTAGAGATGGGGGATCAAGGGGCATGTGGCCTCCCAATTTTGCCACTAAATTTTAAAATTTCAAGCTATATATTGAAATTAGCGCTCTCACTTATCTATTCTGAATATGTTGTTCCCCCCCCCCCCAGTTGAAAATTTCTGGATCCGCCCCTGTGATTAATGATAAGATAACTTTTATTGTCCAACATTACATTTTTTCTCTTTAATTTAAAAATTTTTTTTTTGTTTTTACTATTCAAACAATTTTGATTCAGTTGTGGGACCAGTAGAAGCTGATCCTGAGTACTTGCTTATAGTAGAAGCTAACAATATCAGCGTTGAAATAGACAATGAAATAAGTAAGTTGTATTCCTCATTGTATTCAATATGGGTCTCCAATTAAAGACTTTTTGGACTGGTGTTTCCATGGTCTTTAGCAGTTTTCGCCTCTAATTAGAATAATAAAGATAAAAGGGATTTGTTAATGAATAATGAAGATAAAAGAAATTTATTATTAAATTGAGTAGTCTGTAATTGGAGGGATACCTGTATTTTAATATTAATGAAATCTGCTTTATAAATAAACTACATTGCATCAGATGAGAAAAGTCATTATCTTCCTCATTACATTGTGATATTTGCTGTTAGTTGGTGTTTGATTTAAAATTTTACAGCTCAGTGGGGGTAACAAGGGGTGGAGAGGGCGTTGGTGTCAGGGTCCCCCCATCGGGAGAATGCTCACCTCCTCCCCCTTCTCAGGGAGAATAAAAAATTCTGTGTTTTAAAAGTTTTTAAAGAATGTGAAACCCTAAAATTGCTGGAATACCGGTAAACCTTTGAAATCCCTAAATTGTTGGCGCTTCAGGAGACTCCTAGTGGTTCTTGGTGGCCCAATTGCATTCCTATAGACAGCTTTGGTGTTTCAGCTGTAAGTCTGAAATGCGAATGGTATGTTTAAGCAATTTTACCCTTGTCCATGAAATCTTGGTCATGTTTTGTATTTTAACCCACCTTGTGGAACTAATTTTCTGCCATGCCCCCTCCCCCACAAGCTTACACCCTTCCTTGTGATCATCTACTGTTAAGGGCCACACTAGTATGAATGGGGTTGGCAAGATATATATTTTCTTACAATAATAATCATTGGACACTTAACAGAATTATAATGACATGAAGTTTAGCTAGTATATATTTGTCCTGTTTTAATAACATTTTGAATTATTGTATGAATTCTTATACTCAGGATCCAAGAAATTCTCTGTATTGTGGTTTTGATCAATTGTATGGTTGTGTTTTCTTGTCAAGATCAAACAAAATGATTTATTTCTATGATTTGTTAACAGTTCTATGACCTTGTTTTTATTATTGTTTATTTTGCAGGCCTTTGATCTAAATGAGTCAAAATCACAGATTCTCTCCTATGTAGAATCACGGATGTCGTTTATTTCACCAAATTTATCAATAATAGTTGGTGCCTCAACTGCAGCAAAAATTATGGGTAAGTTTTAAAATAGTTCACACCTATTAACCCATATGAGACATTCAGTGAAGCTGATCATTTAGGGTAAATGTAGATTATTTGAGACCTTTGATGCTTAAAGTTTCTTCACGACACTTGTGCAGTAGAGAGCTGGTCATGTGGGGCCATTTTTGCATTATTCAACTCTCATCAGGCTAAAGGAATAAGAGCTAATTCCCTTAGTGCTCTACAAGCAAGACTCTTTATGGGACTTGGAGAGTTGGAGTTCTCTTTATGAGGCTCCTAGAGAGGTTGGGAAGCTGACCATTTGGGACCCTAAAAGCCAGGCCCAGAGGAGTTTTTTGTCAAACACCTTTTTGTGTCTTAAAAAGATCAGTTGTACTGTACAACATAAAAAAAAAATTATTAATTATTATATTATATTATTAATAATAATATATATTTTTTTATTATTACCTTAATGTCCATTATATTTATAGGTGCTGCAGGAGGTCTAACAAATCTTTCCAAAATGCCATCATGCAATGTGCTGCTGCTTGGTGCTCAGAAACGTACACTATCGGGCTTCTCATCTGCTACACTCCTCCCACACACTGGCTTCATCTATTACAGTGACCTATGTCAAGGCACTCCACCGGTAAGTACTAACACACAGGCTTAATGTATCAGTGTTGGATCCAGAAATTTTAAATAGAGAGGACCCAGACCACCTCAGCCCTGATATTACTGGGACAGAGGGAAGAAAATATATGATTACTGCACCTAGATGATCAGAACTGTCACTCTTAGATCTTTTTTTCTTTATTTTTTTATAATATTAAAAAAATTAGGGGCTGGCGCACTTCCTCTTGAATCCATTACGCTTTATATCTATGTTTTTTCCCCAAAATAATAATAAATAAATAAAAATTGTTTGCAGGATTTGAGGAAAAAAGCAGCAAGACTTATTGCAGGCAAATGTACCCTTGCTGCTCGAGTTGACAGCTTTCATGAGAGTCCAAATGGAGAAATCGGCAGTAAATTCAGGGAAGAAATAGACGGAAAGTTTGAAAAATTAACAGAGCCACCACCTGTCAAGAAAACAAAAGCATTGCCAGCGCCAATAGATGGAGGAAGAAAGAAGAGAGGAGGAAGACGGTAAGATACATAACACATTGAATATGAAGACAGAGTTATGATAATATAATTAATATTCTATAAAAATGTGACTAATTATTTAAATTGCAAATCATACTTGTCCTCTCTTATGCTACAATTAATTGGAACTCATTCACATTTTTAAAGCCCCTATCGCACTGGACTTAATTTGGTCAAATTAACCGAGTCACTGGCTAAATTGACCAAAAAAAATCCAATCCGAACGTCGGTTACAATTCCCTCAGGGTTAAATTAACCAAGCCGAATGGTTAATTTTACCGACCTCAGTCTGCCCAGTAAAACTTACCACGGTCTCGGTTAAACTAACCACGCTGGTCAAGAAGTCCAATCCGAACGTGCAACACGGTTAAAACTTCTTCCATGTTGACACCGCTTGAACAAAACCGGAAGTTGAAGTCACAAACTAGCGCCCTCAATAATATTTTTTATACACAAGGTTAAATCTTGGTAAAACTATGGTAAAACTAACCGCGTGAATAATCCAAGTGCGAACAATGGTGAAATGTACCCATGACTTTGGTTAAAGTTACCCTGGTTAAATTTACCATTTTTTAAATCCAGTGCGAACAAGGCTTTAACCTGCATAATCACCACCCAATCTTTAACCATTTAAATACTGTACACACAAAAATTGTCTGTCCACAACAGGGCTGTATGGACCAGCACACTGGGGTAGCCCCCACTTGTCTTGGAAGATGTACAGTAGTGGGCTCTTTATAGTGCACTTGAGCTTACATTCTGTTGTCCGAGAAGACTTGTTTCAGAACCATAGGTAGGTAGCTACGCCCCTGCCTTAACTACTTGGCCATTCAACTGGCCTAATTATCACATTTTTTCTTGGGTAGGTACCGTAAAATGAAAGAACGTTTAGGTATGACAGAGTTCCGCAAAGCTGCCAATCGAATGACATTCGGGGAGATTGAAGATGATGCCTATCAAGAGGATCTAGGTTTCTCACTAGGACAGGTGAAAAAAACAGGAACCGGGCGAATTAGGGGACCACAGGTGGACAATAAAACACAAGTCAAGATATCAAAAAGTTTACAGGTAATAATATTATGGCTTTTTTGCAGGTGTTACATGCAAAGCACAAACAGAGAATAGGAAACACAATAGCTTAGTATTATATACAATATGTACATTTATTAATAAAAGCATAGATACATTATTATAAAAGAGAACAAAAATGATGGTGGTAAAACACAATTATTTATGAACAGGATATGTGGGGGAGATTATTATGACATCACCACATAACTTTAAGATGAATTTACTAACTTTAAGATGAATTTGGGAATGACATCATCTCCTTAAGGATGAAGTTGTCGATGACATCATCACACAACTCAGATTCAACAGTCCCTTAACCTTATTTGGAATATTAGCCAACAGGTGATTTGGACAACAAAATTTATGAGGGCACTTTAGAACGAACTTTGTACATGCACTCTACAANACATGCACTCTACAATATGGCTAATACAGTCTAAACTATTACAAAGTATAGTAAAAATAACATAACAGTATTTAACATTGTATTATAGTAAAATAAATGTATTAGGTATAACCTAACACCTAACACAGGGGCATATATTCAAGGGAGGTGTTTATTTGAGGGAGGCATTTATTATTTATTTTGGTGTAAAATGTTTAGTATATACTAAAACTAGAAATTGCAAATTGCAAGTGAAGTGCTGCGAAGTACAACTGCATAAAATGTTCTTCGAACAAAATTATTTATGCGAGTCAAGTGAAAATAATGAATAATAAAAATATAACAAATAATATGAGCACGACCCATTGTTTATATATTATTAGAACAGCGTTGGTACAATAGTGTTTTGCTGCAGTGACATCTCTCTGCTGGCGATGGCTCGCTGCTGCTGGCGATGACTCGCTGCTGGCGAATCGATCTGCGCATGTGTATAAAATGNNNNTCCGCAAACACTATGCCAGTCTACAACAAGCGTCGCCTAAATGTAATAATTAGCACGTTGAAATAGGCTAGTAAATAAGTTTAACTGGGTTCGTAAATAATATTGTCCTCAAAATATTGTGGCTGAGAAATGAGCCGATTAAACTTAGAAATAGGAAACCTAGAAATATAGTAAAAACGCTGAATAGTACTCCAGCGTCGCGACATGCCGACGTTGGTACGAGTAGGTTAGTCTACAAACGTCGCCTAAAGTAATTGATTTTACCCGGCAGAACGAAAGAAGGAAACTCCGCTTTTCAGTTGTCTCAGGCGATTGATTTTTGACAAACAATGACCTTTCAGAGGTCAAATTGCTGTCAAGAATATGAATTGGCTGCTTCGCAGCAATAAACATCCCTTAATTTCACTGTAAATGGTCCATTGGTATGATATTAATTGACTAATGAGTTAATAGCTTATATTATAACAGTTGACTACCAACAATTCTATGCCAACAAACCACATGCTTTATGTCAGTAGATCACTATATACTGGAGTCTTAATGATTGCTTTTGTTAATATTTCAATTAATTTCAGAAAGAAACACTTTAATAATTACCATACTCATTTTCTCTACAGCGGCAGTTACAAAAGCAGCAAATGCATGGAGGGAGGTCAACTGTCAAAGGTCGAGAAACCTCCGGTACAGCATCCAGTGTGGCTTTTACACCATTACAAGTAAGTCAGATTTTCTAAAATAATCCACATTACCGTAAATACTCAAATAAGCGCTGCTCGCGAATAAGCGCCGCACCAAACATGATTTTTTTTTGTTAAGCGCCGCTCTTGAATAAGCGCCGCAACGCTTAATCGGGAGTATATAATATTACACTGTGTGTAATTAAACAGGCTTTTAAATTCAATGTATACAGTGTTAAAATGAATAAATAACACAATGAAGACACAAACATTTCTTATAAACATTTGTTTACAATGATAGGACCTATGATATGCCTACTAAACTACGGAAAACGTGAAATAGGTAACATAGAAACGGGCTGGGAAAGCACCACGCCAATATTTTTTATAAGCGCCGCTCTCGAATAAGCGCTGCTCTTGAATAAGTGCTGCACTGAAGCCGCCAAAAGTTTTATAAGCGCCGCGGCGCTTATTCGAGCATTTACAGTACAGGAAGATTTTCAGATAAAACTAAATTATTTTGTTTATTTTATGGGAGCAGCATGGGCCGCTAATGTTTTTGTCATAAAAATATCAGTCAAGAGTGATTCCTTAATGTTTTATTAAACATTTATATTTATCTCTTGTTTTATTTCCAGGGTCTTGAGATTTTTAATCCAAATGCAGCTGAGAAGAAAGTAGCGGAAGCGAATGCAAGATACTTCTCAGCAACAACTGGTTTCCAAAAAGTGAAGAACGAAGCAACTTGAAGAAAACTAAAAAAAACAATAAAAAATATAAATATTGATACTCTTTATTTTTTCTACATCACTCGTATTTATAAGTTATTAATATGCAGATGATGATGCCATCAGGGTTGCCCATAGTGATGCAGCCTTGTTACTACAGACATTGATTAGGAGGGATGGTTAGGCAAGTCTGCATCGCCTTATTGAAACAGACATTGATTGGAAACGTTGGAATTATCGATGTAGCCTTCTCAATGCAGATGTTTATTAAAGGGGACCTTTGAGTGTGTATGTAACTTTACTGATAAAGACTACTTCTATACTCTATACAGAAGTTGAGTAAAAGCAAAGGTTCAGTTAATACAGATGTTAAAAATTAAAGGCCACATGTTATACATTCTGTGAGCAAAGTGGTTTTAATTTATACACTTTTTTATTATGAAAGTGAAATATTGGAAATAATTAGATACTTTTTCATAAGTAGATTTTTTTAATGTTTTTTACGAAATATAATATGAGTAATGTTTTTGCCCTACCTGATGTGATAACAAATTTACTGAGCATTTAGAAAAAAACGTACTTAGCATTCTGTACGATAGCAAGCCAGGTAGGGAAAAACATCACTCCAAAATCAAAGCTTCATGATAAAAATTTGTGGGTGGGTTGACCTCCTTTGGTAGACAATAAAAATAGACCAATCCAGTGCTCAGCTAACATATTGTAAATCCTTCAAGACAAGATGGGGAACATATACAAATTCAGCCCCAATTAATTATGTTGTTTTAAAGATGATGTAAAATAATGTTAAAATTGTTTTAATTTCTTTTGGAGTATATAAATAAACTTAACTGCAAGTGATTCTTTGCATGTTTGTATTGTATCCATGGGTGAATTTTGGGTGACTAAACAAAATTTAAGCACACCTCATCTATATTCTCTTAGACCTAAAGTACTGACTGCTCGCTTACACTACATTGACACTACTGTACTTGGAATGGGCATTATCTGCTATAAAGTAATCTAAAAAAAATATTTTAAGCTCTGTTATATCTACCTAATATTTACTATCAAATTTATACTGAATAAATGAATCTATGTTGGATGAACAGATAATAAGGAGGGTTTCGCAACTTGCACGATTGCTGTGGTGCTCGATAAGTATCCCCCACATCCAATAAGTATAAGGGTGGGAATGTCTTCCATATTATGAAGGCGCATCTTCGTAATTAATGATACTATTGCCCATATTTTAATGGAAATTAACGTTGCATAATTATACATATGTAGAATTTTATTTATTTTATTCAACATTCACTGGTAACAAAAGACCAGGCCAAAACAGTTGACGCGAAATAGCCGCAGTTGACGCGCAGAAGCTAAAGATGACGCAAAATAGCCGAAGTTCTGGTTGACTCACTCAGACTCACTAGGTCTCTGCCGCCGCAGCAGTCACGTTGTTATTTAGGCCTAGACCTAGGCTAGCTGTTTATACACAGACAGGTAGATAATTTGAATGATATATGTAACTTATACTACTAACTTGTACTATTGAACTACTAGGCCCTAGCCTTCTACATGCATACAGTACTTCAAATTCTTTCTGGGCCCTAGGCCCTAGCCTTGGCTAGCGAGGACCCGGTGGATGTCCGGCGAGCTGCATGGTGCGTTAACCGGTTAGGTAGGGCAGTCAGTGGCGGCTCTAGGATATGTTTTCTGGGGTGGGGGTGGCTAAGTTGTCCGACAGGCCGGACTTGAGCTCGTAGGCTCGAGCTGGAGGAAAAAGGATTGAGAGGGGTTCCCCCTCCCAAATGAGATTTTTTTTAAAGAATATCAACTTCTGGATGGCCGAAAATAGCACTCTCAGACTGTGACAAACATGTGTTGGCTTGATGTGGGCCTATTTTTATATGTTTTATGGTCTGACTGCCCGACGAGCTCTGTCCGGCGGGGGCTTGACCTGTCCGGTGGCGGTGGGGGGCTTAAGCCCCCCTGCCACCCCGCTGGCGCCGCCAATGATTATAGCGTACCATATACCAGAGGGTCGCTAGTCATAGTCACGAAAGTTTTGGTAGTCATTGAGAAGAAATGCTGGTCATAACAATAGCATCACTAGTTATAGTCAAGATAAAGGTTCACTAGTCATTAAAAAGTCAAATTCAAGGAAAAGGGTTTGCTAGTCATTGTATATGCAGTAATCAAGAAAAAGCTCGCTAATCACAATAAAGCACTGTTTTCCAGTCATAATGAGAAAGGAGATATGGTAGTCATCATAAACATTTTTTATTGTGACTAGTTATTTTATATTAATCTAAAAATCTTATGACTAATGTTCTTGTATTTTATTACTGTATTATGACTATACTTTTTTCTTTATTAATCCTAGCAAACCATTTAAGAAAACTATTACACAGTACTGTATGTTTTTTATATCATGATCAGTGAAGGTCATGATCTCTACGAATAGCAATCATTTTTTTAAAATTATTCCTAGAGAACCATTTGAATACTGTAATACCCCTTATGAAAGAAGACTTGTACATAGAAAACCTTATGAACAGCAGGTGATCCATATTCAGTATCCATTGTAAAAATAAGATTCAAAAGCTCGGCATTGATTACATTTACTTGCATATTACAATAAAAATGTATTATTTATAATCATAAAATATGAAGTAGGCCTATGTTTTTTTTTTATATATTTCTTTATTCTATATATTTCTTTATTCTTATTTCCATTGTGTATTTTAATAACTATAATTATGATAACAATGAATACCACATCTCTAATGATAGTAC